TAAAATAATAAATAATTTTTTTTTTCCTTTTTATTTCTTATTAACAATAAAAAAACATTGCAAAAAAAAAATCTCAATGAGTTATTTTTTATCCAATTTTATAAATGCATAACAAATAATATTGTCAAAAATTTTTTTCTTTTCAATAAATTTTTATATTTTTACTATCATTTTTCTTTTTCATTGTTATATCCATTCATTCATTCATTCATTCAACAATAAGAAATGAAAAAACAACAAAAATTTCATTGAAATTGAATGTAAGCAGTAAAAATTCATTTTATCAAAATTAAATTTTATCATAGCTTAAAAAAAAAAAAAACGAAAAACGAAATGAAAAATATTTTAGGATGATTAGAGTGCACACACATACTTATATGATTTTTTTATAGCCTAAATTAAGTCATAGTGAACGTCATCAAAATCACTCAAAAAATTATGTTCTCAAAAATTCAATCATATAATTTAATTCAATATTTAACTAAGAACTTTCATACTCTTTCATCTTCTTCTTCAATTTAAATTTCAATATTTTAGCAGATTTTTGTATGTTTAATTGATTAACAACTAATTGCTTATAAAAATTAAAAAATTTTTAAATTTCTTTATGTATTCATTTTTTTCTTTCAATTTTTTTTATTGTTTTTTTCTCACTTTTTTTCAAAAAAAAAAAAAAAACAATCTCATTAATTCATATTCAAAAGTACTTCGAAATTTATTCCAAATGTGTAAGAACAAAAAATAAACCAAAAATGTTAGAATGAAAAATGAACTTTGTTTATATAAATTTATTATTTTATTGCTCAACAATTTATGATTTTTCATTTTTATTACAAATTTATTCATTGCTTTTTTGTTTTTGCATAATTTATCAGCTGTGATTAATTTATTTATTTTAATATGTAATAACAAATTATCCAATTTTTTTATCGTATATTCCATTGCTTATCAAAAATATCTGATAAGAAAATATTACTTAGTCTTTCAACTGATTACAATTTCACATATTTAAAAAAAAAAAAAAAAAAAAGGAAAACGCAATTTACGATTAACTGCAATTTACGGCTAAATGCTTTTTACGACTAATTGCAAATTTGAACAAAAATCTTTTGGAAATTAACCGACAAATTTGTTGCATAATTAAAAATTATTTCTTTTTTTTTTATTTTTTATATAATTGCATAGAAATTTTTTGAAAATTTGACAAAAAAAATTTTAGCATAAAAGAATTTTTGCTTTCTCACTCAATAATACAATGAAAAATGTTGACGAAAAACGAAAGTTTAGAAAATTATGCGAAAGATTTGATGGAATTTGATTTTCAAAAATTTGAAGTTATAATTTAAAAGCAACTGAAATTGAAAGCAATAACAAAATTGCCAATAATTACATTTTTTTTTTTTTTTTTTTAATATTTATTCCTAATTAATGAATGTAAATAAAAATAGACAATAAGAATCTATGAATATAAGTAATTTACTACTTTTCAAATAGTAATTTACCACTTTTGAAATATTATTAGACTAATTCTTCAATTTTAATTATATTTTGATGTTACAGTTAAGTCATCCAAGATATATGCAAATTAAAATGAATGAAAATAATTTTTTAATTTGTTTTTTTTTTTTTTCGCAAATAATTTTTAGTCAAATGTAATTCGTTTTAAAATTAACTAGAAATGGTTGATTTGAAAAATTTTTAGTTTATGGTTAAGCTAAACTATTAATCTTAATGATAAAATTTTAAATAGAAAATGATAATTGCTAATTGTCATGCAATACTTTAAGACATTTGCATGACAATAAAAATTTTTCATCACATTTTAAAGCTCTTATGAACTCATGAAAGTATTAAAGTAACAAAAATGAAAATTCACGAATGAAGAAAATGAGAATTTCGTTGGGAAATAAAAATTTGTCACAAATTGTATAAAATTAAAAAATTTTTTATGGATGTCATTTGCATGTCACTCAATTCATCAATAAATACATATAATAAACAAAAAAAAAAAAGCATAGCATTTTCATTATTACTATCATTGCGATAAAAGAATGAAATTTTATTGAAAGAAATTATTGTTTAATGAAATTTTTTATAATTGATCGAAAAGAAAAATTCTATTATTTCATCTTAATTTTCAAATTTTTTTTTTTTTTGATTTATTTTTTCAAAAAAAAAAAAAAATTATTTCAGAATTTTTTTTTTAAATTCATATTTTTTAAAAAATTTTATTTTCATCTATACTTTTTTTTTTTCAAACAAAAAAAAAAATCGTTCTATTTAGAAATCTCTTGATTTTTTTTCGAGATAATTTTATTTAAAGAAAGAAAAAAATCGACCTAAAATAGTTTTTTTTTTTTTGAAAACACATATAATAATCGATTTTTTGTATAAATATGAAATAATAATTATAAAATTTGAAAAATTCAGAAGAATTTATTAAAGGAAAAGTTGTATGTTTAAAACAACTATTTAGCAAGTTTTCAAAACATCTCAGAACAAAAGTTTCACATTAAATTTTTTTTTCCTTTTTTTTTTTTGCAAATTGGAAGTGGTGTTGATAAAGCGAATGATTTTAACCGGTGCATCCGGTTTGCAAATCGGTGATTGATGAGAGTTTCGTGAACAAATGCGCCATAATGAACTAACAATGTCAAGAATGGTTCAAATCACTAAAAAAGAAACTTTTTTTTTTTTTTTTTAATCATTGAAATGAAATAAAATTATAAATTCTTAAATTAAATGTTTGAATAGAATCTTTGCAATTAAAGTATTAACATTTGCAATTTTATGCTTTTAAATTTTCACATATGCATTTTAGAAAAAAAATTTAACTATTTTAAAGCAAAATTTTTTTATACAACTTTCAATTAAATGAAATAGCAAAAAAAAAAAAAGTAAATAAAATATCATTCATAAAATTTCCACTTCATTTATTTAATTTATTTTTTAACAAAATGCTAACTTTTTTAATATTTTCTTTGATTAACTTAAAACAAAAGTAAAAAAGAAAAGGAGTAAAATGATTTGAAAGATTCATTTTTAGAATTAAAAAGTATTAATTGAAATACAATTCAAGACCTAAATAGTTATCATTCTCTTTCACATCAAAATATTGAATTGAGAGCCGTAAGCATTTTTCATCCGTCAAAATTAATTACATTTGAAAAGTTGGAAGAGCAGAAATCTCTTGAAATAAGATAAATTACTTAAGATAAGATTTACTTTTTGCTGGCAGCTTAAGCTATAACTCATAGTAGATTAAGATAATAAAGCTAGAAATTTGAAAAAAAAAAGAATAATTTTTAATTTCTAATTCAAATTCAAATAAATCTAAAAAAAAAAATAAAAAGTGAAAAGTAGAAAAAAAAAAAAAAGAAGAAACGATGTTTTGGCTATTTTAAATAATGCAGCAATCGTATAATATAATTGTATTTTCATATAAGTGAAGTCAACAACAAATAAAATTTTTGTCCAATATAAAAATGTTCGCTAATTTAAAATTTCATTTTTGATTAGAATAATAATCATTGCTATTACTGTAGTGCTTTTAACTATTTATAAATCATAAATAGCATTTTTTGTGATAATAAAGCAATTTATTATGCTTTATCAGTTTCATGATTTTTTTAAACATTTCAAACATACATTTATATTATTTAATCTTCATAATTATCATTTTCATATTTTAAAATATAACTGATAAATAAACAGCATTAATAGATTATGAACTAATGAAAATTAAAACAATTAAATTACTTTTAATACATGTTTTCAAAATTTAAATCTATATTTTTTCAACTGCAATTACATATTTCGTTACTTATTGTATTTGTAGCATTTTTAATTCAGTAAGTATTCATTATTCTTTTATATCACAGTGATATTTTATCATTGATTTTAATTACTTCAATATAATTAATATTTAGTAAAATTATAGTTTTAAAAATCAAATGTTTGCATTATTTTGCTATCAGCAATAGAACAATATGGTAACAATCACTTTAAGTAATATTAAATTTTATTGTTTTATTAAATTCACAATCAAAATACACACCAATTAACTAGCATTTTAAATTTTTTTATCTATTTGGCCTACTAAAATAAAACATATCACTATTAATTAATATTATCATTGCTATTATTATTATTATTATTATTATTATTATTATTATTATTGTATTATTAATTTACATTATTAATATTAAAAAAAGACCTGCGACATTTACAAGTTCATCAATAACTTTGTTAAGTTTGGCAATATCTTGAGAAAATATTTTCGGTTAAAATGCTTACTATCAAATTTTCAGATTCAAAAAAAATAACAAATTATAAAAAAAAAAGATGAATTTGAATTAACAAAAAAATTACCGCAATAATAAAAAATCATATTTGAAGCTAATACCATGCTTCTTCCATCCAGCTAATTCTATTTCAAATATTTCAACAACTACACTTCTCATCAATCAGTATCGATTGAAGAACCAATGAAAAACCATTAGTTGCTTAGACAATTTTTTTTTCTTTAAAATAAGTTCAATTTTATTCATTTAATTTCCTCGAGTAGGAGTAGTTAAAGTTAATGCAAGAAATATCAAAAATTTAATTTAATGTTGAATTTAAATTACTCAAAAATCAATCTTACTTAAACAATTTTGAATTTTATTAAAGAATTTGAATGGAATTAAAAACCACTAATGTTTTCAATTCAAAAGGATGTGTCATTTTAAGCAATCATTTATTCTTTTACTTTTTCAGTTGACTTTTTTCTTTAAAAAAAAAAAAAAAATGTTAACATGGCTTTTTAAAAAAAAAAAAAAATGTTGTGAACGTAAAAAAATAAAATGTAACCAATATTTTTATCGTGAAATAAAAAAAAAAAATTGTTGCATTCCGTTGTTAATGATTGTCTGTTTTGAACAATTGAATAATTTCAGTGAAATGTTTCTTTCTTATGAATTTTTAACAGCTAACAAATCAATCGTTTCTCACTATTCATCATGCAATTTTTAGCAATCTTGCTAATCATTTGTTACTTTTCCTCCAATTCTAATTTCTTTGAGTTGCATACTTTTTGTAAGTTACTTTTTTATATTCATTAATTATAGAAACTTTAAAATTTCTATTTCCTGCTTTTCGAAAAATTCTATTGTAAGAGATCATCTAAAAATCTCAGCGCTTTTTGCTTCTACTAATGGTGAATAAAGAGAAACAAAGATGAATTTGATTCCATTCATTGTAAAAGTACCTAATCAATCAAGTAAGTTTTTTTTTCAGGTTTTGCTCAGTATGATAGAATTGGAAATACATTTGAACAAATTCGAGATGCAAGCTTTTATAAGAAGCCAGGTTTGATATAATCTATTGTTTTGACATCATTGCATTACAGTTCTGTAAAGAACGATTAATTTTAGATCAAAAATATCCCGAACGCATAGGAAGTTACGGCGAGGAACAGAGCAGCGGGAAAGGTATGTATTGCCTTAAACACAGAAAAAATCGGCAAACAAGAGAAAAGTTCAATGTTGCATTTCGTTACAACATTATTTGAAAAATTTGCGAACTTTAGGATTTTTCTCAAAGCAATCCACAGACAACAGTGATCCTTCTAGTGAAAGAAAACTACCCAGCAGCAGCAACAATCAACAACTGCAACAACAATGATCAAAATCTTTCCGATTTTGATAAAAAGAAATTAAAGAGTTGTTATGCTAACCATTTGTAAAATACATTTCAGTTTATTACAAGTTACAACAAAATTAAACAAATCAAATCAAAATAAAATAGTAACTCCCAATGCAATTTAAAAAACATTAGTGAGCTAGAATTATACACCAAATATCGTAATTTGCATTCAGTACAAAAACAAGAAATATAGCCAAAATTTTGCTCTCATGTACATACCATCTATTAAAAATGAGATGTCAGAATGCATTAACTACCTTTTCATCCATAGAGTTTGAAGATCTGCCTAGAAAAAAATGAGATAAAATAACATTTACCTTTTGATTGCAGGCATTCATAAATAATAGGTGAATAATCTATAAAACATGAGTCTTTTTGATAAAAGAACGAATATAAATAAACGAAGGAATTCAAAGAATTCCTAAGTCCTATCTCCGAGAGTTTCCAAAAAACTAATCACATTTTACAAATTTTTTCATTACATTTAACTTACGACACTAAAGTCGATATGTTTGAGCACGCTGTGTATGACCATCAAAAATAAATGTATTATCGAGTGGTATATACTGATGCGTAATTAATTTTATCACTTCTTGTGCTGTGATACCACCAATCAACGAAGCAACAACATGTAGTTCAGACGCACCATAACGACACATTTCATCGATTGCTATCGGGGGGATTCTTTCTAGCATTTCGCTTTTATCCTCTAACTGCAGAGATTCAAAAATTTGATTAATAGAATTAAAAATGTGATTTTAGCTTTTAACATTTGATTAGTGTGCATCATTTGCTGTTATCAACGATCTATTTGGTAATGAAGCAAAAACACATTTACTAAGCAGACTACGCTAATTTTTCTTACAAAGTTATAAATAGAACTGGACAAGCTGAAATGTGACCCAAACATCATCTTTCAGTGGATGGTAATTAAGGTAATTCCAATACCTTAAATTTAAACTGATCATTTATCACATAAAAATATCTCTGGAGATGCTGTTTTTGAAAAAAAAAAAAAAAACAAAAACAAAACAAAACCTTCATTTAATGAATTAAAAATGTAACAAGAACTTACTTCAGTCTCCATGACTAAATCAACTACTCTTGCTTTAAGATCATACGCATCTATAGTGCACGGCACGCCATTTGTTCCTGGGAAACGTGATTTTTCGGAGTGAAATCTTAAATTATTCGTGTTAGCAAGGGAAGACATAAACCAAAACTTAGCAAAATTTCTACAAGTTTTACGAAAATGAAGAGTCATAAAAGTCCATACGCTGATACATAACATGCAAAAAACATACAGAAATAGTGACTAAGAGCGAAAAAAGTTCACTTACCTATCGATAGCCCTTAATAAAATATACCACACCGCCGGTGGTATCTGAGGAACACCAGTTATAGGACTAGGTGCAAAGTTAGCATTTCGTATGTCATCAAACACTTCCTGAAAAATTAATCATTAGCCACGTGCAAGCTTGTCTGTTGTGTATATGACATGCAAAAAATATTACTTTATTTCACTTTCACCAAATGGAATAAAAGTCATGTATGACTCGATGTTCAGCTGAATAAGAATAAGGAAAGATTAGAACACCTTTTACATTGTTAAACATAAAGATTTCCAACACATTTATTGCAACTTCAGAGTTTAATCAAACCTTCAACGATGACTTCATTTCTTGAGCAATGGTTGTCCCATGTTGTACTCGCAGATATGCAGCTTTCTTGCAGAAAAATTCGCAATCATTAAAATTGATAATATCGGTTGGTACACCTTGTTCTGCGAGAAATTCTTGAAGATAACCCATCACCTGAAGTTGAACCATAGTATATAATTATCATTAACTCCGACCACTGTTTCTAAGCACTTTACCACTATCTCACACTGTTGTGATTATAAATGGCTTAATCGTTTTTTTTTTTTTTCGATGTCATTGACATTTTTAATTACTTAATAGCAGTCAAAAATTTACTTATGTAAAACAGGACCTCATTTCGAAACGTAAAATTTGAATTGCTAATTTTTTCAATATGTGTAATCAGAAATCTCCAGAATTTAATCATTTCACAGCATGCATCAATGTAGATGAAAACCTTTAACTCTCAGAACTGCTTTAAACAAGAACCCAGACCTCCTTTGCATCTTGCTTGGCCTTATCCCGAAATTTCGTCGCTAAAAGAACATAGCTTTCCGAATCACTGATCATATCAGGCAAACTACCTTGTACAGGTAATACTTCATTGGCAATGACAAAACGTCGCAAAGCTGCAGTCAACAGCCAAAACTGTGTCAGATCTGGTCGTCGTGCTTTCGGATGATCTAATAATTCTTTCACTTCCAGTGGTATCTGAAAACAAAAACCAAGAAGTTTTGGAATAAACTCAAAACTTTAAATTACTCATCAAAAATTACTAGTATTATTATTTCATGATAAATACCAACTGTTGTTCGTTTCAGTGAGCGAACCATTGCAGCGTGACCTTCGACAAAATTTTCCTCGCGATAGGACCCATTTTCTGGATGCGGCATTCGTAGTGACATAAAAATCTAAAACCCATCTTAAAAAACTTGCTTCTCCTCATTTCAGAGAAATATAATTAAGGTTCCGCGAAAAAATGACCAAAACTAGTAATTAATAAAGGATGAAAAAATTCAAAAAAAAAAAAAAAAAAGAACGTGAGATGAATTTAAAGAGCTAACTACAGTAGCCTAACAGTTAATTACTTACCGTTTCAAATGTTTTCCTTTTTTCACGATTATCGGGAAAATCATCTTGACCGTATTGCTCTCGCCATAGTTCAAGCGTTTTTAGAAATAAAATTAAGTATGGCGTGTGAGAATGAGCATCATAATGCATCTGGTTTAGATCTACCGACTCTACCAATTCAGATAATGCCGGAAACGGACAGTCAAGCCTGAATACCATAAAATTGACTATCAGCGCCACTTGAAGATGCCATACCTGCAACCATGGCTGAGGACTTGGGACACAATTTAACCCTGTCCACCGTCTAATAATCGGCTTTAACAGTCCAGTTCGTTTCCTTTGCAAAATACATGTAAATAATTTAACCATCAGTAAAGGAATTCCATGGACTCAATCTAAAATATAGGAAGAAAATAAATCATAAAAATTAAAAATTGGCATTACCTTAAGTCGGGCGATATATTTTCTTCATGTGTGTCAATAATTGTGTGTTCTTGGACGGAAATTCGTACAAATCCGACAAAACCATATGCCCTATAATCAAATTTTTAGAGTGCTGTTTTAGTGCTTATATACAAAACCGAAAAATATCCAGAATGATGAAACCAACAATCTTAAAAAAAAAATTCAGAGAAGTGTTTAAAATTTATGTTCTATTATCAAACTTGATCAAATTATTACATTTATTGCATTTTTTTCATGCTTATGATCATAACTTATATATTCAGTGTGAGATCTCCATTAAAATATGAAGTTCTAACCTTGCATGAACGAAAGGTATATTTTTCCCAAACAAGAAGTCATTTATCCGTGCAGCAACATCAATATTTAAATTGCACCCAACAATAACAGTGAACTGTTTTAAAAAATTCGTGTCTTTGGTAATGATATCTTCAGGATTCCCTATATCAAAGTCGCCTTCCACTGATGGATTCAGCTCCTGGAAGATAGTGAATAAAAGAATAGACTCATTTCATTAACATTCTTAAACCAACTACTTCTTTTGCATCATTCAAGATTTCTGTGAAACCTAATATTTTATAAGACAGAATAGAAGGAATCAAGAACTCTTTTACGCTTGACATTATATGTTCCAGTAGCAAGTTAACCATCGATCCGTTGACGTTTTTGACATTCAAAAGCACTTTATTTTGCATCAGAACAAATTTAAAAGTTCTCGCAATTCAAGCGAATAATATACCGTAAGCAATCGTAGCGCAGCTTTCGCTCTTGGTTCATCGATTTCATCAACAAAAAAATTATTGCCTAAATCCGGTTTACGTACGACGGCAGAATCGATGATGTACACTGATCTGATACCAGCAAGCACTAAACTTTTGATAATTTCGCATCCCAAAGCAGATGCACTTAATACACAAACACTAGCATGCTCAATGCATGACTGACCCTCATCACCCCAAAGACGAATTTGCCGATCATATCGTGCATCGTCTTCCATTATTGTTACTCAAACCCGTTATCCTGAAACTTTTCTCTTATACAACAAAAATTACCGCAAAAAGTTAAAACATGTAAAAATGATACATAATTATAAATAAAATGAGATTATTCTGATGAAAAGATAAAAATATGATATAAAAGTACCATAAAATATAATTGCAAGAAAATTAAAATACCACATTTAATTTAATCTTAGCATGAAATAAAGCAATGCTTCATCTTTCTCATCGTTTATCGGTTTTATATTCTTACTGATTCCACCAACTATCACAAATCACTAATTCTAGATTTCTCTCACCTGTTAATACCTGACCAATGTCACATGCAAACTCCCACCACCATCTCATCCCCGCCCTCATCAATCTCCGGTACTATTGATTTTCTATCGGAAGAAATAGAACGGTCGCATACTCGTTGCATGCTACTGGAAAATTTCCTAGCTTTGAAATTAAATTTGTCTGTGATTGCTGGCTGAGTTTCCGCTGTGAAATAGCCAAGAGATGACTTCTGTGGTCACCGAGAGGTCATTGCGTGTCCGAACTATGCCACTGCAACGTACTGTCATACTACAACTCTGTTGAATCATACGTTGAGAAAATGTTAAGATTAGAGTTTACATTCCTTTTCTAATTTTTTATATACATTTTAAAATTTGCAAAGAAATGGGTTTCATTTCATCGCAAAACCAATAGATGTATTTTCTTTTAAGAGAATGAGTGATTCAATTCTTGCAATTATTCCACTTTTTTTGTTAGGTATGAAGAAATATCTTAAAAAGTGAAAAATTATACTTGAATAGTTGCTCGA